GTAAGTTTGAGGCAGCCTGAGCCACGTTTTGTTTCTTCCACCTGGAAGTTGCCCATGACTCTGATTTCTTATGCTTTTTCCTTCAAATCTCACTGAAACATCATGTGCTCAGGAAACCCTTGCTGAGCCCCATCCCCAGCTATTCTCCTCTGTCATTTTACTCTGCTGATGGCCTTTGGTGACCAATGTCTTTTTGGTTGTTACAGCATATGTCTTTATTGTAGGAGTTGAGGGCTTATAATTTTTTGTTCAATATTCTCTATCTAGTGTCTGTCACAGTGGCTTAAACCTAGGAGAATCCTATCTCACTATGTTGAATAAATAAATAAATGACAAAAAGGGAAGAGGACATGCATAATGAAATTCACAAAGGGAAACAGAAAGCAAAATTTTTAAACCATGTTGGCTATGAGTAACCATTACCAGAGAATCAATCTTTAATGAACATTACTGTCCACCTACTTCATATAAGGCTACCCACAGGCCAAGGCCAACCCGGCACAGTCCCTGCCTCTCAGGAGTTTAGAACATTGCTTATGCATAGAAAAATGAAACGTTCGATAACAACATGGTTGACAATACGTGAGCTGCCACGGTACAGTGTATAATTATCAAAATGCATGATTTGAATGATGAGAAGGTATAGAAATCCTGGAAAATCCTTTTGTGTGAACAGAAGGCTTTCCTTCAGAAGGACGGGAGACAGAACCATTTTCTTGGTGTATTTGTCCTGTTCTGATTCACATTACCCTGACAGTAGCAATAGATCTGCAAAACCTGTCTGTCTAAATTTTTTGGGTGGACCCTAAAAAGCATTTCCCTTCAGGCATCAGGTAACTTCTGACCTTTCTGAAGGACTTAATCTAAACTCAGTGCCGAGCCAGAGAAAATGTACACCCTGGAGCTCAAAAACAGTAAGTGGGTAGCAGGCTACCTGGTCAGCCCTGTGACACACCCCCTGCTTCAGACGTTTTATGTTGGAATACAAACCAAGGGCTGCAATCAGGCTCTAATTTTAAAGTGAATGAATACTTTCTTCACCTCTGCTTAGATACTATATTTCTTAAAATGCAATAATTACTAGTAAAATTCTCAGGTTTGAGCCATGAACCGAGACTGGACTAAATAGCATAGTACATACAGGGTCCCTGCCAGAAAAAAAAAAAAAGATCAATATGAATTAAGCTTCCAGAAAATGATTACAGCCATGATTAGGTGTCTAAGGAGAGATGGTTCTCATAACCCTTGTAAAACTTGCAGCATAAAAAAGAGGTTTACGTTAGGGAATCATCTTGTCTATGAGGCTGTCTTCAAGGGCCACATCCCCCAGGACATTTCTGCCCATTAAAAAGAGTCCAGAGCGAAACTTTAACCAGGCATCTACTAGCTTGTTTGTGCGATTCCTCACAAACCCCTGCTTTAGCAAACAACCCCGCTAAGTCAATTTGGCAAGAACCCCACATTTTTGATACTTGGTCGTCCTTTGTCTGATGAAGGTCTTCATTCTTCACCATCCCCCGATGGTGTGTGATCAACTTGCCTTGTCTAGTAAGAATCTAGTAGGCGATTCATACGGAACACCCCCTACCCTTTTTGTTTCCTTAGTAATTATAAACTCACACCCACGTTCTTCATCCCTCAGGCCCCACTTGCCCTTGCTTCATTCAGAGCTGACCCCAATCACTCACTCATCTATGTGCGGCAGTGGTCGGTACCTGTTTGTGGCAATGGTCTTGAATGACGTTATCCTTGCTGTGCTTTAACAAGTGCTATTCAGTAGTATTTTTTTATGCTGCCCCCACAAATCCTGAATTTCTGTTCAGTATGTAAGTAACTGAGGGTTGTCAATGTCACTTAATGTAGTCAACACAGGATTCCCTGGGTTCAAATTCTAGACCCATCACTTCCTGCCCCACCTTAGATAAGGTTGAATATCCTGAGCCTTAATTTCCTCGTACAGTAGTGTGAGGTTTACAAAAGGGATCAACCCAGTGGCTGCTACACAGCAGAGACTGAATATACGTAAGCTGTAATTAATGGTCATACTAATTTTGTATTGTACCCAAGTCTATACATTTTTAATAGAGGTCACAGGGAGCTATGGTAAATCCTATCACATTTTACTTTGAAGGGATTCTTGATATTTTCTTACACTGTGATGTGGTAGGCTCCTGATCCATCCTCAAAGTGTCACACAGAAATAATTCAAAATTTGACAGATATTTATCTAAGGTGCTAGAGATACTAAATTGGCTTTCTTCCCTGTTTCTCAAAAGATGGAAATAAAATGAAGTCAGAGAAGCACAGTGAAATCCAGGGTGCCTGACTCAGAACTGACCCCAGCCTATAGAACAATCACTCAAGTGGGGCCACCCCAAGGTCTCCTAGCTCCCACTTAGCTCAAGGCTTTATGCTTACTTAACAGTGTGTATCATTTCTGTCCCTTCACTGTATCATTATTCCTAACTCGCTCAGACCTTACTTGTTCATGCACTTTCTTATCAGCTGTGCACTGACTAGTCCAGCCAGAGCTTGTGATCTGGAGACTGTGGAATACACACAGGGTAATGACTAGGATGGAACCACGTGCGAGCAGTGGCCCAAGTGAAGAAGCAGTAAGCTTTCAGGAGAGTAAACCAGAGCTCACTTAGTTGTCTTTGAAGCATCTCAAGAAAAACAAAGCTGTGATTGAAGAAAGTTGGTGGGGACAAAAAGTGTATTGTAGGAACAGGGAAATGAATGTGTAGTTACATAGATGTGAGCCCGCCCAGCGTGATGAGCAAAGAGCAATCACTGTACCTGGGTAGATCTGAGGCTCGCCAGCATGTCCCGCCCCCCACCATACCCACATGCCTTGGGGTGCTGTGGGAGGCCTCCTTTGGGCCCTGGGTCTGCCCTCGGCTATCAGAAAGATGAATAGAGTGAAGGCTGCCTGGGACCCACCCAGACCCCAGGCCCATGGCAACCCTGACCGCTGGCCCCTAGGGAGGTGGCCATTCGCTAGCAAGGCTGCCGATAGGAGACCCTGCCTCAGAGCATCGCCAGCCGGGTTCTGTGGACTTTCGGGCAGAGCTGAGCCGGGTGCTGTGACACTTGCAGCCTTGGCTGTGGATGTGACTGGGGCTTGAAACACACTAGCATCTGTCTTTCGGAGGCAAGAACCTCCAGTAACTCTGTGATGATCATGAAAAAGGAGACTTCCTCTGCGTGCTGGGCCATCCTCATCAATACCAACAGCATTCTCTTGCTCTCTTTATTTTTGCTGTCATTAATACGTGCTTGCATTCACCCCAAGGAGCTGGCACACGTACATAACACAGTTTAACCCTCCTTATTGCCCCTCTCCCCTCGCCCCCTCCTCCCTGCACCTCCAGTCCCCTTCACATCTGCAAAGTACCCATTTCCTGTAATTACCTTCTATTTTGCTCCTTATTTACACTTTAGATTTCTCATATATGAGATATTTAAGCTTGTAGGATATGTAAATGTATGCGTCTGATTTATTCCACCTAACATTATGGTCTCAAGATGCATCCATTTCCAACAAATGACTCAGATACGTGCTTCTTTGTAGCACAGTAGCACTCCATTACGTGTAAATGCCATGTTCTCTTTATTCATTTACCTGCTGCCGAACTCACTCTCCTGCTTTTAAAACAAGACCATGAGGTCTTGAGGATAGTACACATTTCCATGAAGATTTTCATCCCTGATCTTACAGCAACATTCCTATTCCAGCTGCAGACCAGGTAACTACAAATCCAGGGCATGATCATGTCTCAGCTCATTCCTGGGATGGCTGCATGCAGTACGTCCTCACAGTAGCCATGAATGCCCCCTTGGTGTGTGTCCAGGGCCTCAGAAGTTCTGCCTGAACCTATAGCACGTCCTGGTTCTTCTTGTCTGTTCTTCTTTTCCTCTAAACGTGGGGCAGTGTGTATCACCACCTGCAGAGGTCGGCTGGAGATGGTTTCCAAGAAGGGCAGTCTTACGTCCGGCTGACTACTACTCCCAGTACGTGATGGTGTGCTTTGGGTGCTGCACTTTCCAGAGCAAACTTGCTTTGCATGACTGATGAGTGTGACACAGCTCAGAGCCCACACCATCATTTATGTCATTTATGGATCAGCCACTGTGGTCTACATGCCACCACATGGTTTTAGTGTGGCAGCCACTGCCCATTGGGCAACATTCTGGGCAGGAAATGCTAGCAGGTGGGGTCTTCCTGCACCTTGGTGCTCCTGTGTGCTGGTGGGTGCACACTTGCAATGCGGTTCTACTTACAGCTTGAAGGATGTAGCTGCCTGGGTAATCACCAGTGACAAAGATGCTACTTCCCTGGCCAGCCAGGTATTTCTTCTTTTCATACGTTAGATGCATGTGCATGCATCTGTGGTGGAGGCCCGAGAGCTAAAGGAAAAGTTTGGTGCTACCATGAACGACATTGGTTACTGAGAAGATCTCTGATGTTTGCTGCTAAACTTGGGCCAAGTATGTCTTTGCATGAATTCATACTTGTGGCTTCTTTCAAGTTCTTCCCTATTTGGCATATGTCTCATGGATAAACTGGGATAGAGTTAGAGCAGGGACAAATTCTAGTTTTGCAAAAGGAAGTAGAGAGACCACACTTACCCACAAAAAAAATCAATCTGTCCCTGAAAGGAAAGTAAGCAGGGGAAGGATTAAAACTAACACTATAAATAATTTGCCAGGTGCCATGGAAGGGCGAAACGTGACATAATCTTATTTTGTTCTCCATTGACAGTGTGAGGCAGAGATTCTTATTATCCCATTTTCCAAAAATCTAGCAAGGTTACACAATTTTTTTGCAGTTTGTCAGTGCTTTAAGGACTGGAACCCAGTTTTGGTACCAATGCTGAGAAAAGTCAGTTTACGCGATGGACAATTAACTGAGAAGCTTATCTTTACCTCATGTTTCTAGATAAAAGAATGATTAGTTAATATTTCCCTTAAGACTAATATATATTTTTAAAAATCAGATGTCTAGGATATTTCGACGTTCTTCTGGAGGAGGTCGATTCATCAAATCTCATGTTATCAGCTTAAGGTACGTAAACTTAGTCTGTAACTTCAAACCAACTATGTTAAGGTGAGGCATTTACTCACCATAATTGCTCAACTACCCTGGAAAAAATGTACATAAACAGACATTTCACAGATCTTAAACAACACGGGTCACGCTGCAGAAGCATTTCTCACTCACAGTAGGAAGACGAGACGGAGAGCGCCGCGTGACCGGAACGTCTCCTAACAGAGCAAAGATGTGGGAAGAGCAAGTGGTGCCGCTCACACCATCCTGCCCCTGAGCAGAAATCATGATTTTAATGTTTCTTTTTATTGTAAGCCTACACAACCATCAGATTACGGCTTTCTGTCAGCAGGCTTTTTAAAAATGTCAGTGCATTTTTGTTACTATTTTTAAGTGTTTTGTTGTAATGCTTTGCTGAAAGGTTTAATTTCTTAATAACTTAATCATGGTATTATTATGATTCCTGAATATGTTTTTGTATGATGTCAGAAGGCTGAGAGCCCATATATATATGTACATATCTCACTATCGGTATCATATTTATACATATATATGGAAATACATATATTTTTGCAAATAAAATGTATGTTTCTTTTTACAAAAAATATGTAAAATCTTCTCTTTCCATTGCTGGTGGCAAAGTGAATATGTGTACGTGGTTAAATGATGTAGGGGCCCATGCCTTTTTTCCTCTCTTGCCCTTCTATCTATTTTACATTTTTTATTCTACCTTTTTTCCTACCTTCCTATCTTCCCTTCTTTCTTCCTCTCTGCTTTTTGCTCTTGTTTTTCAAACTAAATTCATTCTTGAAAGGCTGTTAGAGGCTTTCCATGCACACACATCACAATATATATTATGTATTTGAATCACTAATTAAATGATTTCCATCGGTAAGCTGTTTTCCCTAATGGCTCAGTTATCAGCTGATTACCTCAGTGCTTTCACACAAACAAAGTGTATTTCACATCCCCAGCTCAGCACTTATTCAACGGGTCAGAAGTGGGGGCCAAGAGGTGGGCACTGGTAGGCACTGTGGGATGGAATTAGCTGCAGCGCCCCCTGCTTCTGGTTGACAAGCAAAGCAAGAGCAAGAGCCTGAAAATTGATATGGGAAGTGTTTCAGGGGCCAGACCTAGAATTGGAGACATCATTTCTGCTCCCGTTTCACTGGTCACGATTCATTAGAGAATGCTGGTAAATGCAAAGAGAGATTAAAAATGAAATCTAGCTCTGTGCTCAGCAAGCAAAAGAAACTGGGTCTGGCAGACCAAAGAGGGGTCTCGCACGTCACTCTGAAGAATAATGACCTCAAGTACAACTGCTATTCAAAAAGACTCAAGAAGCAAATCCTTTGAGTTAAGGTCAAACATAAATTTATGAACATCTCCTTCTACAAAACCCTCTGAACTAGGAGCCAAGGAAAAGCAGAGGATAATGTTTGCGGGCCTATGTCTCCTCCAGTATTTCTAGCATATTGCTATCTCCCGTGCTTGCCACACCTGCAGATCACTGTACATCCTTCCAACTCCTTCATCTATCTACAGGAGATTTTAAAGTCTTGCGTGCACACATATCATCTGTGTGTTTCTTTAAATTTAATGAGCTCTAAGAGGAAAAACCAATTTGTAAGTAGAGGAATGGCATTGTTTGTCTGTGTTTTGCCCTTCAGTCCAAGTGAACAAGGCGTGAACATTCTTATGGTGCTCATGTTTCGGTATCCATCCACTGATAGTGTGGAACGAATCAAGAAGAAAGTTGAAAGGACTCTATACCAAAGTTTGAAGACCAAGCAGCTGCCTTTCAGTATAAGTAAGCCATCACTTAGACTCACACGTAAGTCTTTGTTTTGATTTTTATTTGCCATTTTCTACTTTCCTGTGTTTGAAACCCCCTTTATTTTCCATAAAAATTAGGTGAATGTATTCTCCCATTTTAGGAATTTATCGCTGAAGAACATCAGTGTGTAATTTTCTAAATTCTTTTTTCTATTTCCAAAGTAAAATCAAAAAAGAAAATATCTTTGGACTTTATTTTCAAGTAGAATTTTACAATTTGAGCTAAATATCATGTCAGAAAAGAGGATTAACTATATATTACTCGGTTATTAAGAATTCCATGCCGTCTTACAGTATGGATACTTTAAGTAAATATAATATGGATATCAATTAATTAACATTTCAATGAATGACCATTTTAACAAAAATAAAATGAAAAAAATATATAATTCTGCCAGCTAATGCTTGCTATTTTATTCTAGCTATTGACAACAGAAAGATGAGGAGTCTTCTCAACAGTCGTAAGTTCCAAAATCAACAATTATCTATCTATTGCACTGTAAAGGAATGAAAATAGTTACAGAAGAGATAGAAGCACAATTTTCAAGCATTTTTGTTCCTTTATAGTTGCATAAACCAAACTGTTAGTCCTTGTATATTTTATTATTTTTAATATCTTAAATATTAGATATTATTAATATAATCTTTATATATTTCTTTTAAGATTCTCACAATTCACAGGAGTGCTCTTGGTAAAGAGTTAGGATTTTTCTTCTTAAATTTTTTGTTTTCTTGCATTGTTAAGAAATATCTGATGTTTTTATTTTTATTTTTTTTTTTTTTTGGCTTTGGCTTTTCTCCGGTACCGGGAACCGAACTCACGACCCTGCGCTTGCCAGGCAGGTGCTTTTGCCGCTGAGCTAAATCCCCAGCCCCTGTTTTTATTTTAAAGAGAATAAAAAATAACAAAATAACAACAACACAAAGAAAACAAAGCAAAAAGAACAAAAATGATACAGGCCTTCAGAACAAAATGATAAGAATTAACAGTGGTTGTTATACTACATATTGTTTTGAAAAGTCTGATTTGTAGATTTCCTACCTCTCTGACAGTCCTGCCCCTCTATACCTAAGCATGTGTTGGGCCTTTTCTGGGCAAATATACACCTGCTAAAATGTTGTAAGGACACTCTCAAATCTTTTCAAAAGTACATTTAAAGCCTAATTCATTGAGCATTTGAGATTAAGGAATAAGAATTTTTTAAGCTAGACTTTCAAATTTTAGAAGAAGAAGAGATCATTAAGACTGAAAATGATTCTCTTTAATGGTGTCAAAGGCAAATCCTGACCGACATTCAACACTGAGCTCTCTCTTTAGTAAGATGCTGTTGGCCTGGGTGTGCTGCTGCTCTTCCGTAACCCCCTCTGTCCCTTCCCAGCCGGGTGCCCTCTAGCAATCTGTTTCCAAGCCTTAGTTTCCTTACTTAGAAACATGAAAAAATCTATAAGTGTATCTAAAGTATTTAGCAGAGGACCTATATATTTTGATACTCAATCATCTGTTCTTTAATGAAATAAAAGTCAAAATGTCTGAAAAACATTTAAAAGAAAGTAAACCTCCTTCTTTGCACCTTAGACATGTGCTGTGTAGGCGAATAGCCACAGCATCATGTCAGGAAATGAATCTGCCCGAGAGAACAATTCCCTGAATCTAACAACACCTCGCAAGGTCTGTGATTCACCCGTCTGGCCAGTCTGCTCCTGTCGCGGCCCTCCCCACGGGCTTAAAAATTTAAGACAACCCCAGTTTGTGTGAGTTGCTAGTTTCTGATCCGCTGCTGTCCTGCATTTCCCTCCCAGACAGCCACACTGCCATGCGCACCCCTCCCGGCTGTGAAAGCCTTTTGGGGGAGCACTTGTTCAGTATAAGTGAATGTACGTTCCCCGAGGTACAAATCTATTCTGCTCCCAATTAAAAATTTCTTTGCTTGTAGTTAAGCTCATTTACGATTTCATGGTTTACTTAACCATCTGTATATGTCTTAGAACAGAAGTCGGTCTTCCACTGGATGTCTTGAAATGTCAGTAAATGTTTCTTCTGAGCCGCATACCATCGGTAGTACCCGGATATGACTTCAGAGGCTGCGCAGTGGGAAAGGCTGGGGCCCTGGCTTCTCTCCGTAGCACCATCCAACACAAATCAGGATTTTGTTTTCTCCTTTTCCTGACAAACTCCCATGAATTTCTGTGGCAGGCTGTGGGATAAGGATGACGCCCTCAAACATGCCGTTACCAGCGTCCTCCTCTACTGCGAGAATTGTGCAGGGCCGGGAAACGGCCATGGACGGGGAGTGGCCGTGGCAGGCCAGCCTGCAGCTCATCGGCTCGGGGCACCAGTGCGGGGCCAGCCTCATCAGCCACACGTGGCTGCTCACGGCAGCTCACTGCTTCCGGAAGTAAGTCCGCCAGGGATGCCTTGAGCGTCCTTCCGGTTCTCTCCTGCTGTTGGCTCAGTGTGTGGGAAGAGCCGTCTCACCAGTCTCTTCTCTGACCCACTCAGGGTGGAGCCTGCTCCGTCCCTAAACACATTCTGCCCTCTCTATGCTTCATCCACGATGCTTTGTAGCACTGGTAGTTTTCACCATATAGTTCCTCTATTGCCACGGTCCTAGTGCTATCTTTGCTACTACCTCATGGAGTATTTTAGTGTAAAGACTATTACACCAAAAAAAAGCCTTTAAAACAGACTATTATACCTGTACCAAGTTTAATCTCTTCTACGTACTTAAGAAGCAAGCAATCACTTCAGTTTTGCCTTTTTCCCCTAACTAATCCCACTTCCCAGTGTCAGCATCCACTCATACTATACAAATAAAGCTGTGATAGATCTCCCTCCTGAGGCACTCCCTTCTCATCACAATATCCAGACTGCCCCGGGGGCTTGTGTGATTCAGAGAGCTGTGTGGAAGGTAGGCCAGGGCTGCTTGCCCTGTTGCACTGCCCTCGCAGTGTGGCAGATGTGACGTATAATCCCCAGGACCGCCATGCTGGTTGCAGCTCTCATGATTCAGTAGTGTCAATTCACGCACACAGACATACACAAACACACTGTAAAGCCCGGAGATGAGGGTCACACCATGTTTTTCTCCCAAAGGTTTTACCAGCAAGGTAAAGAAAGTGTTGCCTTTAAAGTCTCGACAGGCAAAGGCTCTGGGTAAAACCCCTTTGCCTGACCAGTATCATTATTCACAGACTCTGCAAAAAGAGCCCAACCTTGATGATTCAGGGAGGATTTTTATTATCCTCCTATGAGTAACAGTCCAGATGGTTCCAAGATACTTGTACCGTTGTTTATGGGAGACAGATGCAATGAAAATGGCCTAATAAATTTAACAGGATTATCTGTCATTTGCTTACTAGAGAAGAAGCTCACTTAACATATATTTATGAATCCAAAAATAAGTAACATCATGCACTAGGTATGAACCTGAGCCCCCGCTCACTTGTTAGGACTCTGTGATTTATTCATGTTCATATAGTTCTTCAAAGTTTGAATTGCTGGGGCTGGGGATTTAGCTCAGCGGCAAAAGCGCCTGCCTTGCAAGCGCAAGGTCGTGAGTTCGGTTCCCAGTACCGGAGAAAAAACAAAACAAAAAAAAACTTTGAACTGCTGTTTCTGTATCATCCTTATTAGTTTACAACTGATCTGTGGTTTATGTAAATTAAATAAAACCATAATACCAACTTAATGTTTAGTCAAACATAAACGTTTGTGATTAAAATATTTGCTTTAGTGGGTCCTTTGGAATCCTTGTGGGCTGGCAGACCTACACGAGAATTAGCCATTGAGGAGAATAAAATAGAAATTACAAGTGACTTTGATAAGAGAAATTTTGATATTATGATTGGGATGGGAATAGACTCAAGATAGAATAGAAGAATTATTGGATCAAGTAAATTTAAAACTTTTAAGGAAATTTTAAATGAGAGGGAGCAGAGAAATTTGGTAGTTGATGGTGAGTGTTATGTCAAAGGAGGTTTTTCTTTGTTGTTTTATTTTTAATATGGGAGATATAATTCAACAGAGTTGAACAAAGCGATGATGATCCTCATGAAGAAGGGTTCCATTTTTGGAATGATATAATTCCATGTAATCTCATAATGTGACATGGGGAGAAAGAGTATTTTGAAGATAAGATAGCTATTATGCAAATAGTCTTTAATTTTTTGTAAATGTACTTTTAATTCAGAAATCAATTTATTTTAAAACATGTTTAAGACATATTTTAGCACCTTTATCTCCATGAAAAGTTATCTCAGTCTTTGTGAAACAGTTTAGGCTGGGGAAAAACATTAGGAGACTTGGGCCATCTCTTTTTGATCTTAACTGGCTAAGGATGACTCTCACCTGGAGAAGTCCCTCAACTTTTGGGGCTCAGTGTCTTTATCCACAAAGCATGCTGAATTCAGTGAGCCTATTACATGAGGCTTCCTCTTTCACTGACCATTAATAAAGGGATGGGATAATTCTATTTTGTTTTCCTAGTTCATGAGCTCCTACATTACCATATTTCTCAGGATTCTGTTATCTAGTGTCTAGATTTCAGATGAATGTTACAGTCCTAGGATTCCTGCTGTCAATAAAATCTTCTCTCACTATCTAAATTAGTAGAACAGATGAGAGAGGATCTCCCTTTCCTGTGTTTGGGTCCTTCCTACACATCCCTGAGGCAGTGGTGAATATTAAGAAAGCCACTCATCTTTCAGGGTTTCATTATTCTTAAAAGTTGATGATTCACCAACAAAGTAATCACTCATGAAAGAGGAAATCCCCTTTTAATTTCTGTTTATTTCCTTCTACACAGTTTACCTTCCCCCAGAGAATTCTAAGTTTCTATATATGTCCAGTCATTCTTAATGGGGATAATTTTTAAAAGAGTGAAGTAGGCTTTTGAGAAGAATTAGAGAGGTGACTGGACTAAACAGAATGACTGGACTAAGAGATGATTGGACTAAATGGAAATTGCCTGCACAGTGACCCTGTGGGAGAGAAATCTGCATAAAGGGAGAATTAGTAAGAGGGACTCACCAGGCTGGCTGGAAGGGCGGTAGAAGCTATGCTTCCAGTTAGGGAGCTTAGCCCTTGATTATCAGGGAGGAATGTAGCCATAAGTGGATCAACAACTCAGTGCAAATGACAGCTTGCAGAGCACACACGTTACACAGCCTCAGAAATCACCATAGCATCCAGTCAACAAAAGCCAACAAGCGAGTCAAAATAAGAATGAATGGAAGACTTAATTTAGAAGGAAAATGCCTCTTAGTATTCACATTACCTATAACAAATCAGAATTACTTTTTATACATTTCATTAAAATTAGAAAAAAACAGGAACCAAGAGTTCCTAATAAGTCAGTAATTTTAAAATTGCAAGTTAAAAAAATTTGAAGTTAATCTTACTAATTAATAAATTGTACACAGTTGTACACAATTAAGTGCATTTGTCAGAAGAAGTCTTTTTCCCAGAAAGTTCCATAAATTCTTTCATCATAGGGGTCTTCTAGGAGCATAATTCCAGTAGTTAGTGAGAATTAGTCCTAATGTTTTTCAAAGGATAAAATTGAGCATCATATTAATCTTACCCTTTTACTTTTTGTAGGACTAAAGACCCAAGTAAATGGATTGCTACTTTTGGTACAACTATAACACCACCTGCAGTAAAACGAAATGTGGGGAAAATTATAGTTCATGAAAATTACCATAGAGAGACAAATGATAATGACATTGCTTTGGCTCAGCTGACAACCCAAGTTGAATTTTCAAATATAGTTCAGAGAGTTTGCCTTCCAGATTCATCTTTGAAGTTGCCACCTAAAACAAGTGTATTTGTCACAGGATTTGGGTCCATTGTAGATGATGGTAAGTAATTTTTGTCTGATTTTGTCAGCACAAGAATGTCTTCAAGTTGAACAAGCTGTTTTAGAGAATCCACTTGAAATTTTTCATAAAAATAATGGTGTTGTTTCTGTGTATGTGACACTGGGCAGAATAGGCATCTATGGGTCAAAAAGTAGAAGAAATGAAGTCTATTTCTGAATTTTCAATTGTGATACTGTAATGTAAAGGGATACATTAATAAGAAGGAAAGAACAGGTTGCGTTAGATGATATAAGAACAGACAAAAAGGGAGTAACTAATTAATAATTGTGTACTTCCTAAATGTAAATACTTTTTGTTGACCATTTACTTTAAATCACAATCTTCTTTTGTCAAAGACTTAGGTCTCTTTTTTATTTTTTTACTTGTGTTAGCATAAGTTTGCAATACATAATTACATTCATCTTGGGGAACTGAAAAATATACACCTGTATCACACCTTAATCATGTTTACAAGCACTTTTCCTCTCACCCCTCCTCATCTCCATCCCCACAGCCCCTTTTTTTCTTTATTTCAGTCCTTCCTCATTTTAATGAGAATTTATAGTAGTTATGAACATGACAATAGGTTATGAATGTTTGGAAAAATTTCATTTTTATTAGTTAATAAAATTGGCATTTTTCCTCTGTCTCACCTCTTAAGGATGTTATAAGAAATCAGGTCTAAGAATTTTTAAAATTGAAAATAGGAACCTTCAGGTTCTAAGTGTTGCTTTACTTTGCTCTAAAGAAGGTGATGACCTAAAGTGAGAAATAAGACTTACATCAGGTTGTATGAAGGGCGTTTTGAAGAGCCCTGGAGACAAATGCTGTACATCTTAATCTAATTCTCTCTGTTTTGATAGAATTCTATTAATATAAAAATTTCTAACTATCCTAAGCCTGTCCAACGTAGCGTTATGAGAGATCCTTGTTTCTTTTTATTTTCTCAGCCCTTGCTGCTTGCTCATGAACACTCACCCACAGCCACCCCCAAAGTCCCTACCCTTCTTCCCTTCCAGTTATGTAGCATCCTGTCCTCACACCCAGCCTGTTCTGCAGTGGCATCAGATTGCTAGCACACATTGGGCATTCACTTCATTTTCCATGTACAAGACACCCTAAAGTAGCATACTATATGATAAACTAGGACAAATACATTTGTGCTACTGTGTCCTGGTTTCTACCTATATGGCTTGTAGTAAATCAATACATTTCCATGGCCTCGAATTCCTCATATGGAAAATGTGCCAGTTGGACAACATCAGTGCAAGCTTATAAAATGGAACATATATAATATTTTTCATAATATATATGACCCACAATATGATATAAAACTAGGGCATGTATATTTAGAGTTTCTTGCATGAACACACTTAAGAAATCATCATTGTTTGGATTGAAAATGTCTTACAAAGGCCATGAACTAAAGACTTGGTCTCCAGCTGATGGATTTTTGTATGGTGATTGGATCACAAGGGCTCTAACTTCATGAGTGGATTAATTCTCTAATGGATTTATAATTTGATGGTACTATAGAGAAATCCCAGAAATTTAGGAGATAGGACCTATTTAAAGGGAGTGCACCATAGTGGCCAGTCCTTGGAATCTATATCATGTCCCTGAGTCCCTTCTCCTCTGGTGCATTCTCACTCTCTGCTTCCTGGGTACCATGCAAGGAGCACACATATTCCTGCCACCATGCTGTTCTTCCTCACCACAGACCCAAAGCAACAGAGCCTGCCGACCGTGGACTGAAACCTGTCAAACTGTGAGCCAAATTGAACCTTTCCTCCTTTGAATTGGTTTTCTCAGGCATTTTATCACAGTAAAGAAAAGTAACTAACAGACATAGAAAATAAAATTAAGGGATAATTATATTTAATTCATTAATTTTCTGCTTTTGCTCCTAGAAATACATCACTTACCTCTCTTCCATGTTGTACAATTGTGTTTTAAATATATATTGTTTATTTCTTTGTGTAACAGGACCTACACAAAATAAACTTCGTCAAGCTAGGGTAGAGACCATAGGTACATCCGTGTGCAACAGAACGGATGTATATGATGGTCTGATAACTCCAGGAATGTTGTGTGCTGGCTTCATGGAAGGAAAAGTAGATGCATGTAAGGTAAGTCCAAAGTCAAGATTAAAACTTTGAAAAGAACATTACCATTAACTGTTTCTAAATTTGGTACCTATTTTAACTGGAAAAAAAACATGGCATTGAATGCATCAAGGTCTAAATTTATTTAATAAACAAATGTTATCATGTTTTTTTACAGTGTGCTAAACAAAAACTAAGCACTTTTATACACTATTTTATTTAATATAATGAGGTACAAGTAGTATTATATTTATCCCTACTTATAAATTAGGAAATTAAATTCTGCTCCCTAGTTTTGGTTCACATAATTACTTTCATGATCTATTGTTATTTTGTTAAATGAAATTTTTTAAAAAGCTAAAAACAGAGAAACTTGTCCCCTGAAGAGCATGTCATTCATCTCTATTATCGCAAGTTGTTTTCCTGCTCCAGCTCCCTACTCCCTCTCATTCCTTTAGAGAATTGACAGTAAAACCTGACAAAGTTTTCTATCCTAAACCTGAAATGCTGGATAAAACCCTGCTGTTTCAAATGTTGGGCGTCTAGTTTCTAGACATCTTCAACTCCAGTGTTATGCTCTTCTTTGGCCTCCTCAAACTCTATCATTATACACTGGGTCTTAGCATCAAAAATCACTCCACCTCCAAAATTACTAATTTCCATCTTCCTATTTGACCAGCATCCCCTTTTCTTTTCTTCTCCCCGTGCTTTTCATCTACTCCTGAGTCCTGAGTCCCTGAGTATATTTTCTATATTACTTCCCAACCTCACTCCCAGCACACAATTTTAGTATCAAATATTTGTGGAAAGGTTCTGTACCCATTCATTCATCAAGCCATTGCCATGGAGTCTTTGCTCTGCTATTTCACCAAAATAGCTCTTCCTAAGATCTCTGGTGACATCTGTGCTCTTAAAATTCAACAAATATTTTTGTTTCTCTTCCTTTTCCAAATTTTATCAGCATTTATTGATTTCTTTCTTTTAAAATATCTGTGGAAAAGAAATAAGTATAATGACCATTTTGCTAAATTAGTTGACAGTTTCAAATATGTGTTTGCTTTTATTGCAGGGAGATTCTGGTGGACCTCTGGTTTATGACAACCACGACATCTGGTATATTGTTGGTATAGTGAGTTGGGGACAGTCATGTGCTCTTCCTAAAAAGCCTGGGGTCTACACAAGAGTGACTAAGTATCGACACTGGATTGCTTCAAAAATTGGTATCTAGCACGGGTGGTTCATGATTTACATCCAAAATTCCTCATCTTGTATATTATTTAGATTCCTATGTTTGGAATTGGTGCTTTTGCTAGATGTCAAAAAACTCTTCAGGACTGGACCAGTACCACACAAGGCAGCCTTTGTGTACATATTGCAAACTCTCCCTCTGAGACGATGAAGAAGACACAGCAAGTGACAGTAGCACTGATTCCTGACTAGAAAGGAGAACTATGGCGCTCGTTAATAAATGAATGCCTGGAGATACTTTCCCTCTATGGAAGATGGGGAGTATCATTTTTCACAGGGTCCGAGGAGGTGCCAAGGAGCTGCCAGGCCATCACAGTCTTACCTCATGCAATACCTGGAGCACATGGGATTTTTCTGGTAAAAATTAAACAGCAATCTCTTCTGAAAATTTGGAGCTTCAACACTCTAGAACTGAAGACTGAACATTTAATGGATAGAATGGAGGAGCTTATAATCTTTGATGTAACTTGAACTCTCACCTGAGTTTATATCCCACAGTGCAGAACATTATCATTAACCACAGGAATTGTCATTAAAACTTGCCATTAAACTGTTATGTACTCATGCACTAACTTCAGGAAGTACATTGTGTCACAAGAAGCATTTCTGAGTTATTCTTTAAGAGTATCTTGCTATCTATACATTAATTCCCATCAGCCCTGCAAGAAGAGAAAGGAGACTCCTGGGAACATTTTTCCATGAGTTAATGAAGGGTAAAAAACAGGAAGCAACTGCTAATACAATTGGTTGCAAATGATTACTAACAGGAAAAACACTCTAAATTTTTGATGGAATGAGATATCCAGTCACTTATTTAGACATGTCTTTATCAGAATATGGCAAGTGGTGCTTTTGTTAAATTTGCAGTTCTCTGAAAGGTCAGATGTCTATCACAATGTCAAGGTGGGAGAGCTGACTTGTGTAAAACACTCAGCACAGAGCCGGGTTTGTACTAAGTGTTAAATAGGTTATTATCTGTTGTCATGCTTTTGATGACAGAGAGCCTCTGAACTCACTTTCCACCCTCAAATGTGAGATCTCAAGTTGTTGCTCTGAATTGTCAGAGAAAAACATCTGGCCTATTAATTTTTTTAATGGTTGAAACTTTTGTTTCTTTACACATATATATGTTTATATGAAATATATGTAAACAAGATAAATATAACTAAAAATATCCTAGTTGTTACTTCTCAGTAATGTACCATAAACATAAAAGGCTCAGTCACGCACACTTCCCCAAATTCTGAGCTAATGACTTGTAATAACTGGAGATCATCAGGAAAAGGAGTGTTAAAAACTTAAATTCTTACACTTACTCAATTTAAATTCTTATGCCTGCATATAGCATAGAAACATCTGAACCTTTCCAAAGAATATTTAGAGTTTTAAAGATGGGCTTGAGTGATGTGGACTTTTTATATTAAATTTATTTTTTTTGTTTTTGTTTTTCTCTGGTACTAGGAACCGAACTCACGACCTTGCGCTTGCCAGAGCAGGCGCTTTTGCCGCTGAGCTAAATCCCCAGCCCTTTATATTAAATTTAATATAATCTTTTTTGGTAGATACAGGAGAGCAAATCGATCTACAAAAAATCACTTTTCCTGATGTAAATTCTAGAATAATTAATTAATTAAATAATTAATATATGCTTTTGTGTAATTTTATTTATATTTCATGACTATGATAACTTTTTCTGTAATGAATCTGTGAAACTATTTATAGTAATTTAACTATTTCTCCTCACTTCAGTGACATTTTAACACACATAAGAACATGTGGCAGTTAAAGTGGATTGCCAGTTTGATTGGTTTTGGGATAGAATTAGCAGTGATGGTGAACATTCTAGAGATGGGCGCCCAAACTGCAACACATAACCCACTTATTTACTGCAAAGTGGAAGCACTGCAATTGAACCTAAATACTGTGGTTTTAGTTTATAAAAAGCAACTCATACATTAACACCTTTTTCTTAAAAGAACAACAGTAACACACGTGCCATAGGTTTGCCACACTTCTGGATGTGCCTGGATGGGTCACAGAAGTGTGACCTTAGGGTCTATAAATGGCCACTTGCACTTTCCTCTGTGCTGCTGTTTTTCCATGCTGCTCCCTGTCTTACATGACCTAAGCGGCTTTCCTCTACTGTGCTCTTCCACATCAGTGTTTCTACCTTGGAGCCTGCTCACCATGGACTGAATCCCCTGAAAACCTGAGCCAAGTTAAACCTCTCTTCCTCTAAGGTGTAGGTGTGGGGTATTGTGTCCCAGCAATGGAAAATTGACTAATACAGGAAATTGGCATCAGAAAAATGGGGCCATTGCTATGATTATGCTTCACCATGTGGTTTGGAAGGCTTTAGAATTGGCTTAAGGGAAGTGTTGGGAAAAGTTTGGAGATGCTAGATGGAGAAGACCTAGACTTCTTGTAACAAGAAGTAGAGGGGTAATTCTGGTCAGAGGTCATAGGATTGCAATGCTGACAGAAATGCAGACAGTAAAGCCAAGGCACAGGTCTCAGTTGGGAACAAGGATTCCACTGGCTATTTGAGTAGATCCCATGTGTTTTATACTCTGGCAAGAAAAAAATGTGTCTTCATTTTGTTCACGTCCTGTGACTTTGTGGGGAATTGAGATTAAGGATGGTAGACTAGTTAACATGGGACAGGAAATTTCAAGACATCCCAACATTCAGGCTGTGGCATCAGCACTGTTAGCTGCTTTTAGCCAGGTTTATAGTGAAAACTGAGGACAAAAAGTAAAGAAGAAAAATGTGAAAAACTTAAAACCAGGTGTAAAGTTGGAGCCAAGAAGGTGTGATTATTCAAAAGAGTAGTAATATTAAAAAGAAACAAAGGACTTTGTATAGGAAATGCCATGAGTCATCTCAGAAATTAGCAAGACTCCACCCATCACAGGCACAAGTGTGAAAAAGTATACATCTTTCATTTTAGAAGAGAGCTCCTTGGACCTTGCTTGAGATAGGCTTCCTAGAGAATTGGTTCCCAGGATTCCTTTCATTGGGTTCAGCCATTCCGGCACTCAGAGGCTGCCACAGCATGGTCTGAGGAGCCTGGCTTTTGTTTCTGCTAACAGGAGACCTTGATGCCATCTGTGTGATGCTGGGTTTTACTGGAAAACAGACCCCAAAAGCCAAGTAGTCATGGAGGCTTCCAACCAGGTTTCAAAAGAGGGCCTGGAAGGCCAGGCAAGGACCCCCTTGAGAGGACAGCTTTTGAAGCTGTGGGAATAAAACCAAAGGTGCACTAGAGACACAAAGAAGTTAGGACCTGGAACATCTGCTGAGGAAAATCACAGGCAGTGAACAGAGCCAGCCTAAGAGAGAAGACTAGTGGGCAGCAACTAGCAAGACCATAAGGGTTGGGCCACCCAAACTCTCTGGAACACATACATTATCATTTACTCTAGAGGCTGGATATGGAGTATAGGACTTTATGTTTGCCCTGCTGCGCTTCTATAATGTTTGGGCCTGCTTTCTTTTTCTTTCTCCATGTTCTTCCCATTTTGAATTGGAGTGTTTATCTTGTGCCATTGTATGCTGGGGCATGTAACTTTATTAAAAAAACAAGGACTCACAACTAAGAGTTTGCCTTATGTCTCATAGGAGACTTTGGCTTGGACTTCAACAATACTGGGACTTCTGGGACTTTGGGAAAGGGATTATTGTATTTCAGTTATAGATTGGATAGTTGTATCATGGCAGGCAGAATTATGACCTTGTGTTTTTTTTTTTTTT